AGGTAGCGAGGCTATGCATCCTCCAGTTGTTACGTATCCCAGTGAGATGGATGGTGTTCCCAAGATTTCTTTGCCAGTTTTCGGCCTTGCTTCGTACAAATATGAAGCTTCATTGTGGACTCCAAATGCAGGACGTCAACGCCAATTGGCAAACTCCCTCTTGCAGGATGCTGATAATTGGCTGAAGTTGCTACACGTCACCCACCCAGATTTCCTTTTCTTCTGCCGTTGATGAAATCTAGAGATGGCATCAGTACCGTCATGGTTCCAAGCCTCCAACCATTTTGAAGCTTTTGAGGAATGGGTTCTTTTCCATGTTATTACTCCTTTGTTAACTATTATGAAAAGTGACTAAGCCACCCCACCCCCGAGCCCAAAAAATAGAAAAAGAAAAAAAAAACAGAATAGAGGAAAAAAAACAAAAAAGAAAGGAAGGAAGAAAAAATGCAGGAGAAAAAGAAAAAGGAAGATCGAAAATGTTACAGAATCGTCTGAGAGGTGACATGGTATTCACAAGAAAAGAACGGAGAGGTGACAATAGTATTTGCAAAAATAAAAGAACAGAGAATGATGTGAAGTACACTTGTAGGCTGAGCTGAACCAGGTGCTGTATACAGCACTTTGGCTTGTCAAAAAACCTGCACATCTTGCCTTTTCATATTTTCGTCGGTTTATTTCTGTCTTGACGATAATGAGTAGGTTGTTGTAATTTATATCAGCACTTTAAGGGGATTTTGTTAGAATCAGCGTGGGGGCGACCTTTGGCCCCTCCATTATCCATGATGTGTATAAAGTATGTTTAACTGTAACTTTTTAAATTAGTACGTAGCTTACTAATGGATGTTTAGATGTATCACTTCTTCAAGGTTGTACGTCATTTGGTAATTGTGATTCTGTATGCGCATGGCTTTATTGTGTCCTTTGTTGCTACGCTTCTGTTGCAACTTGCAAGTAGGAACTGCGATGGAATTGTGAACTTAGCCCCTTTTTTTATGATTATCCTCTTGCTTAGCAGTCTTAAATCGTACTCTCTTTTCCCAACTTGGTTACTTTTGGATTGTTTATGAGTGTCTCTCTTTTATCTATTTAGAGCAAAGTTGAATGTTGCATGGTCCGAATTGCATGTTTGATATGTAGAAAAAGATAATGATTTTAGCTTATTTTTGTGTCATACTATCGTTTGGTGCAATCCAATCCTATGAAACATATTATAAATTTGCATTACATTTTATTTTCTGCAACTTTTCTGGGATCTTTACAACAGTGGAAGCAGTTTTCTTTTTCACTAGTAAATACAAGAGAAACTAAGCTATGAAAACTTAGTTCTTGAGCTTCTTCTCCAAGGCCCCAGAACACATATTACCCATCATATGATAGAAGGAAACCATTTCAGACAATTGTTCAATAGACATTTTCCCAATTATATCTTTTGCTGCTTTCTCCCTTCGATCGTTCAATTTCAATCTGTCAATGTATACCGAAGCAATCCTCACTGTTGCTCCCATCTGCTTCAGTCTCTTTTGTTGTTGCAGGCTCGATGATGTATTGTCCTGCATAGTGGTGGACGAAATGGAAGATACCATTGAAAACGGCATTACTATACATCTCTCGATTTATTAGTTATATTTCTTTTGTTAGGAATATGGGTAGTTATAGCTATACATTATCCTACGGATACAAGTCCTTCGCCACAGAGAACACCATACCTCAAGAAATTCTGCTCCAGTCGTGACTTCGGACTCCTGGGCTAAAATTCTACCCCTACTTGCGCCATATACGATCCTTGCAATTGACAAACTTCGTGCAATTCCCTTTCTTGTTTTCTCCATCTCCCGATCAAATTTGACACGCTTTTGCACACTTGTTATCCTCCCAAGTTTCTTCTTATAAGCTATCACAGCTTTTACGAATTACTACACAAAAACAAGCCGTGTTAGATCACACTAAGCACGTTTGATGCGCAATAGTGGTATCACTCTCAACACTATAATGTAGAAAATTTGAACTTTCATCAGTGTCCTAATTATGACATATGTAGAATGAATAGTTACCTGGTATGCAGATGCACATCCTGGATAATCAAAATTATCAGACTCTATCGTTCTCATTCTTTCTGGATGAAATTGCAGTCCCATTGTGAACTTGGCCTCTTCAGGATTATAAGCATCAGGATCATAAAACCCTTCAATCAGACCATCAGGAGCAAAAGCAATTGGAACAAATCGTTCAGCCAATCGCTTCACGCCTTGATGGTGATAACTATTCACTGAAATCTCCATTTCTTCCTCATCTAGAGAATCTTTAAACCATTTATGCAATGGTGTGGTTTCATGTACCCTAATAACATGCCGATGACCATTGTAATTTTCATAGTTCATAAGAACGACTCTCTCTTTTGGACATTTGGAGAGCTCCCAATAGCTTGATAAAGGGTACCCCCACAGGCAACATTAAGGATTTGTGACCCTCTACAAATGCCTAAGTAGGGAATGTTCCTTTCAAGACAAAGCTTTGTTAGTTTAAGTTCAATTGAATCTTTTTCTCTGTCAATGGCAGTATCACTTGCATGTAATTGTCTAATCTCTTGAAGTTCTTGTTGTGAAAGTCCAGATAATTCAGCATCATAAAGAGATGGATCAATGTCTT